ATTTAATTTATTAGTTCTAATGGCTGCGTTCAGCAGAAAAAACAACTTTGCAACTGTTGTAAAATTTTTCAACATGATTGATTAATTTAAAGTTTATATGTTTAGATATACAAGGTGTTCCTAAATTCGAGGACAATATTATATTACAGCATAAAACTTTGAAAAAAATTAAATTTTTTAACTAAAAATTAACATTAAGCCGTTGATATTTCAAATATGTTTATACAAATATTTTATTGAAAATGTTTACATGCTTAACAATAAAAATGATCTGATCGGAGTCGAAACGTTTGTTTTAATTTGTTTTATTTTGTTTAGCGCTTATTTTTTAAATATATTTAACTTATTATTTATAATTTGTGTGTATTCTCTTGATTCGTAGCCCTTCTTAAAATATATTTTTAATTAATAATAATTAAAACAGATTTTCAATCTTTAAAATACAAAAAAATTGACAAATAACAGGGCTAATGAGTCAGCGCGGATAATTAAAAGTAAGTTTTATAGATTTGTTTAATCCAAATTTGGCGTTTGATTATCCGCGCTGACTCATTATCCTTGTTGTTTGTTGGTTTTTTTTTTGTATTTTAAATAACTCTCAAAAAATATAAAAACTCGCAATTTGCGAGCAAATTACCCTCCCGAATATTCAGTTTACCTTTTATAAACTGGTCATACACCAACGTACCTCTCAATGAGCAGAATATCTAAAATCGACGCATAAGACAGTTTAAGATATAAGAATTATTTTTTAAAAATTTTTTTAGAAACATGTAAAATATTTCATAAAGAATTCTATATTTCATACAAAAAAGATATTTTAAAATTGTCTTATGCGTCGATTTAGACATTCTGCTCATTGGGCTTGTAGAGATTCTCTTCTTTCTTCTGGCCAGATTGGACTCACCTTCCGTTGTTCCTGACCAATATTCTGGCTTTATAAGCCAAATATCGACAGCAAGGAGACATACTCCTTTTTGCTGCCGACTGCTGCCGACTATATATCGTCAGCAATAAGCGTAAGAAAAAGTTTACGCTTCTGTATGATGCGCGAAACACGAACGCGAAGAGGCCATTATATTAATAAAATTGATTAAATATTAATATAAACAATATATATTATCATTAATAATAATAATTATTATTATTATTATATTAACATACGAATAAATTTCGCGTTTATTCAAAATTAAAAATATAAATATGCGACTAAAAATAAATCTAAATTAAAAAATCTTCATGTCAATAACGTATTTATTTCAAGAGTCTCTAATATTACAAGAAACTAGATTAAATTTCTTAATGTAAATTTTATAATGTATTCAATAAAAATTAATTTTAAAATAAATGACTGAAAATTATTAAATCGATTATCATCTGATAAAATTCAAGGCCCATGTACGTATTTTTAACGATTCGAACGATTCGTTGCTGAATTTCATCTCAAAGCAGGGAGATGAAAAATTCAGATGAATGATGTAAGATTCGAAAGGGATAATTTTCCCTTACATCAATAAATAAATTTCTATCGTATTTTATACATTATTAAAATAATTTTTTAAATAATTTATTATTTCAAAATTAAATATTTTAAGTCATGCAAAACTTTAAACACGATTTTAAAATAGTTATAAGATGAAATTCTTATATTTGTTGATAAAATGTATATTGGATCTTACATCATGTTACTACTTTAACTGGTATAAAATCCAGTTACTACATATGGATAAGTTATAAAAGATTAGGCTGAAGTAAGTGCATTGATAAATAATAATAATTAAACGTAAAATGTCTTTTACGAAAAAGCGAGATTAATAAATTATATGCTTTACATTAAAATTTTTGTTATCATTTCATTAATAAGATGTATATAAATAAGTGTGAAACAAATAGAAGGAATTTCTTAAAAAACGATTAATATTATACGTTTATGTGTATATAGGAATTGCTTTTCTGCACCAACTTGTGTAAAACTTAATCCTGAATAAATATTTGAGAACAGGATAGATAGAAAAAATAATAAAATATTTATTAAACTGTAATAAATACTTTTCTATATTGTGGTATCCATATACAATAATTTAATTTACTCTAATTATTATTTTATATTTATTTTATATTTGTATTAATAAGAGATGGTTGCTTTTGCTTACAAATCGATTGTCTACAGTATCGTTTGCCTACATTACTTTTGCCGATAGTTCGTTTGCATACAAAAATGATTACCTATAGCTCGATTGCCTACATACATTTTCGCACACAAATAAAAATTTTAGAAACGGAGTTACTTTTGCCTATATGTATTATTGCCTACACCTCTATTGCGCACAAATATAAAATTAAAGTTAAATAAGAAAATAATTTATATTTTTAAGAAATCTGTCATGTGAATAGTGGGGTGTCAGCGTAGACAGTGTCCGCTTGGAATATTTTTCCAAAAAAATCTAACCCTACCGCCTAATCAACCGCCATTTTTTGGTGTGAGATGGCCCTCATTTAGCGTGAAAGGTTGTGAGCTGTAGGCAATAATAATGTAGGCAAAAGTAACTCTATTTCTAAAATTTTTATTTGTGCGCAAAAACGTATGTAGGCAATAGAGCTGTAGGCAATAATACTTGTAGGCAATAATACAAGTAGGCAAAAGTAACTCCGTTTCTAAAATTTTTATTTGTGTGCAAAAGTGCATGTAGACAATCGAACTGTAGGCAATAATTTTTATGTGCAAACGAACTGTCGGCAAAAGTGATGTAGGCAAACGATACTGTAGGCAATCGATTTGTAGACAAACGGGATCCCCCCTATTAATAATATAAATATATATTATTTTATATAATCTATATACTTTTTAATTTCCCGTATATATTTAAAAAATATTTTATTCATTTTCATTTTAACACTTCCAAGATATATTATTTTAATATAAAAAATAACCATCGAAAGAAATAATTCAAAGCGTCCGGTAAAAAATTTTTCATGCATGAATATATATAAATTTAATACGATTTTTTTGCTCGAGTATAAATACAAATAAATAGAAAAATAGGTCAAATACGAGCTTAAGAATAAGATGATAAAGTTTATTAGGTCAAACACATGCTCAAAAATAAGATGAAAAAGTTTATTAAGACATTAATCTATATCATAAAAAATGTGAGAGTTTTTTACAATAATTAATAAATAAAACGTTTCAACTTTACTTAGTCATCTTCAGCCTTACAATAATAACAGTAGTTGTATAAAATTAAAACGTTCTAGATAAATTGTTACAAATAAAATTAAATATTGGAAAGAACATAGAAAAACTAATCAACGAAATCATATCAAAGGTTGGATAATATACTCTGCATATAAATAAATTATTAAAAATTAAGTCTTCTTTATATAATAGTTGTACTTTCTTCGTTTAAAGATGAAAAGTGGAGTCAAACGGATAAGATTTTTAAAATCGTAAGATAAATGAAGTCAATAAAAGAAAGTCTTGTGGTATATTTAATTTTTCAAGATATCAATTCTATAGATAGAATCTGTAGAGAGATATGTCCAAAACAGTGAAACGTATCTCTCTACAGATTCTACCGTGTTTGACCTATCTTCCTATCCATATGTATAAATATGTATAGATATATTTCGTGTATGATTATATATGTTTATGAATATTTATGTTTATACATATTTATATTGCTCATACACAATTATGCATAATTTTAAATATAAATATACATAAGTGATTTTCTT